AAAATAAATTTTGTTTTTTTCAAATATTTTTCAACACTGAGAGAAGTTTGTGGTCGGGCTTCGACAGTGAAAGGTTTAACTATTTTTGTGGGATCGGAACAGATTAATCGTTTTTGGGACATACAACCAATGGGAAATTAGGTTCGGGTCACAACTAAATGGGTTCGCAACCGGGGTTTTGGAACGAATTATGGTCATGACCAGAGGTTCCACGTAATCTGTTAAGACTTATTGCACACAATTAGGCACTGTTGTTTTGGATTTGATTTCGGCTTACCATGACTCCCAAACTTTTCACATCCTGTGTGATCAAGCTCTACATCGCCTGGTTTATAACTTCGAGTTTTTTCTTTCCCAAGGACTAGGACTGTACACTTGTTCACACTGAACTGCATCTGCCATTTTCGACCAATACATTAATTAGTCCAAATCCTGGAGATCAGGGTATCTTCCTCAGAGTCATTTTTCCCTGTTTTTATCATCAGCAAATTTACTATCACTTGCAATTCCTTCATCAAGGTCATTACTGTAAATTATGAACATCAGTGAGTCTAAAACTGGGGCCTTGTGAAATGCCACTAGTGACCTTTCCCCATTCAGACTTGACCCCATTAATGGAAACTCCATGCCTCGATCCATGTTAGAACTTTACCTCCTATATCATGAGCTGCCACTTTTCTTAAGAGTCTTTTGTGAGGTACTCTATCCAAGGGTTTACTGAAATTCAAATAAGTTTAAAGAGGTTTTTCAGCATTGATAATTTGTTTGTACAAAGGAGTATGACAATTGGGTGTACATGCCAAAAGCCCCTTTATATGTGGAGCATTATTTTGTTGTTGTTTACTGTTTTCAACTGCTTTATTGACAAACAAAATTTATATTTGACAGGCAAAAAACGACCTCTCGTGAATCCATGCTCAGACTCATTAATCAAATTATGTCATCAAGGTGACTTTTAACCCTTTCACTGTCAGTCTCGTAATATTACAGCTTGCAAGCCAGTGTCGGTCCCGAAATTTACTATGCCAAAATTCTAGCGCCCTTTAATCTGGTGGGAGAAAGCTGGTAGGCCTACATGTGAGAGAATGGGTCTATGTGCACAGTATAAAAAAAATTGGGGAGGCCGCAGTGCATGTTGGAAGTACCCAAATTTGACGCTTTTTCACCATTCCTAGTGTTGGGAATGCTTACTCCCCAGCAAATTGGGACTCTTCCCTTCCCAAGTGATAGTTTTTAACACAGACTGAAGTGTCAGTGAAGAGAATCTCATGCTTTTGAGGAGTTTGTGACCATAAGCAATGAACAGGATAAACCCGAAATAGTGCTGAAAACCCAGATGAATATCAACTTTCCACCCTTTCCCCCAAAAAAAATCAACGTGACTTTATCTCCATGTGAGTGGTGGGAAGACAGCATGGTTGGTGGGGGAAAACAGCACTGGTGGTGGGAAGGCAGTTGGGTTTGTGTAAAAAAGGTTTTGTAAAAAAATTTAATGATGACAATGTTTGTGCAGTTATTGTGTTCCATACAATGAGTAGATATTTCAGTGGAAAACCCTTTGGCTTATGAATGCCCCACCATACGAGTTTTTCAGGATACGAGCAGTCACTCGGTCGATTTTTTTGTTTTGGATATGAGCAAAAATTTAAGATGCGAGCTTACCCCTCAAGGGAGGTTCCTTGACATGGTGAGGGGTTCTTGATCTAGGGAGTTGTATCTGTGCTCCAGTTCCCTAAATTAAGGGATGAATACCTTCCATCCTCCCCCCCACAGGCGCTGTATAATCCTACAGGTTTTCCGCTTCCCCATTATAATATTTAGTATGTCAGTCAGTCAAGTCAGTAAATCATTCAGTCAAGTCAGTAAGTAATAGCTTTTATATCCTTTTACTCATGTACGAATTAATTGCTCTACCATATTGTATTACTACCACTACACTACAACTTTTGTCACTACTACTACCACCACTACCACTAGTATTGCACCTCACTCTGAGCCTTTATATACCCTCGTGTCCATGTATTGTTTGTAATGGCTTGATTAAAGCTCCTGGAGAGCGAAACTTTGCCACAATAAAATGCCACATTAGTTGCACTTGTGTCCTTTTACTTTACAGGCTTCGGATTTCAATCACTTTTTTGGCCAAAATTTTGTCCTGGGTTTTGGCCGTTGCCTGGGTTTTCGGCTGGCATACTAGACCTGTCCCCCTGCCTGCGCTTGAGCGCCCGCCCATGCAGGTGTCGTGAGCCAGTCTGTGTTGTTTATGAGGGAGGGAGGGAGGGAGGGAGGAAGGGGAGGGGAGGGAGGGAGGGGGGAGGGAGGGAGGGGGGGAGGGGGAGGGAGGGAGGGAGGGAGGGGAGGGGAGGGGAGGGGGGGGGAGGAGGAGGGGGGAGGGAGGAGGGAGGGTGGGGGAGGGTAGGAGGGGAGGGGAGGGTAGGAGGGGAGGGGAGGGGTAGGAGGGGGGGGGAGGGAGGGAGGGAGGGGAGGGGAGGGAGGAGAGGGGAGGGAGGAGAGGGGAGGAGAGGAGAGGAGAGGAGAGGAGAGGAGAGGAGAGGGAGAGGAGAGGAGAGGAGAGGAGAGGGAGGGGGGGGAGGGAGGGAGGGAGGGAGGGGGGAGGGAGGGAGGGGAGGGAGGGAGGGAGGGAGGGAGGGAGGCAGGCAGGCAGGCAGGCAGGCAGGCAGGCAGGGAGGGAGGCAGGCAGGCAGGCAGGCAGGCAGGCAGGCAGGCAGGCAGGCAGGCGGGAGGCAGGCAGGGGGCAGGCAGGCAGGCAGGCAGGCAGGCAGGCCAGGCCAGGCCAGGCCAGGCCAGCCCCGGCCAGCCCAGGCCAGCCCAGGCCCGGCCAGGCCAGGCCAGGCCAGGCCAGGCCAGCCAGCCCAGCCCGCCCCCGCCAGCCCCAGCCAGCCAGCCAGCCCCAGCCAGCCAGCCCAGCCAGCCCAGCCAGCCAGCCCAGGCCAGCCCAGGCCAGGCCAGGCCAGGCCAGGCCAGCCAGCCCAGCCAGCCAGCCCAGCCCGCCCAGCCAGCCATTATGACTGTGAAATAAGCCACCATGGGGCCTGTGGTAAAGAAAGTGAGGAACACCATAGCAGTGAAGAAGGAGATAGTAGGGAAAAAACAAGAGTGGTGTCTGTGTGGGGAACTTGCCCGGAAAGCACGGCAAAAACAAATCAACTACCACTTCTATCCTGGCGAAGAGAAAGAACTCAAGGAAGCTGAGTCCATGGGGGTTTGGGGGTGAGTGGCGATGATGCGAAAAAGTTGGGGGGAGGAGCACAAGGAAGAGCTAACCACTGACAAACTGCAAGAGCTTCACTGGAACAGCATCCGACCACAGCTGGGAACTTGCTTCAGAGGAGGAGGAAGAGGGAGTGAGAAGGTGCTCTTTAGTGATTGACATGAGAAATTAAGACACATGTGTGCCAAGGGATGAGTTGCAAATTTTTTTGAAGGTTCACCTGACAAGTGAAACAAGCCTATCTGCAACATGTTCAATGACAAAACCCCCTTTTCCCCTTCAGGAAAACTTAGAGACGCCAGAAAAAAGAGCACTCTTGACAGTTATTTTGCGACAAGGGCCAGTGACTCGGGCTAGGCCTAGGGCCTTAAAAGGGCAAAGAGGGAGTAACCCAGTTAAGGACTTGTTACCTTAAGTCTTTTATGGAAGGGGATTCCCCTGCCAACAATAACTCCTCCCTCTCTCCTCTTCCCTATCTTCCCGATGCCAGCAAATCTCTTCAATAAAGGTAAGTAAATGTTTATTTAAATTTTAATTTGTCTATTGTATAATACATATATGTATTTAAACTGTTTTTGTATGTAAAACTATAGTTATTCTTTAAAAAATGTATTTTTTGTGAATATTTTGTGGGTCTGGAATGATTTAATTGTATATACATTATTCCTTCTGGGAAATATTGCTTCACCTTTCGGCCATTTTTAAGTTTAGGCCTAGCTCCTGGAACGGGAATTATGGCCAAAACTTGGGGTTTACTGTATATATAGGTTTCTGTTATTTATATTGTTTATTATGTCATATCAGATGAGCTGTGATAGATAAAATAATCCATAGAGTTGATATTACCATCATATTCAAGTATTTTGTCCTGCCTCCTGAGAGCAGGAAATTCTGCTGGAAGGATTAATAGCATTTCAATTAATTTAAACGAGGAAAACTGACTCGGCATATGAGCGATTGGGTAACGAGCAAGGTCACGGAATGGATTAAACTCGTAAGCCAAGGTTCTACTGTATATACATTATGCATTATATTGGTCTCACAGACCACAAAAGTTACTTGAAAAATAAAATATTTGAAAAGAAAAGGAAAAAATAGAATAAAAGTAAAATAATATTATCATGTGAGCGGCAGTCACTGCTGTTGTTGTAAGCAGTCACTTTGCCAACTTCATGCCTCTATATCTGGCTAACTACTAATCGCAAAAAAAAAAAAAAAAAAAATCTTTCAAAAAATTCCGTACTTTTGTTGTCATTACCATCAGGAAAAGATTCTCTATTATTCATAAAGAAAATAATAATTTTTTTTTTCCAAAAATTTTTCGACATCAGATGCTTCAGGATTGGGGTTGACAGTCAAAGGGTTTAAACTGTCCAATGTAGATCAACGTTCACATGCATTTACCGCTCTGAATATTTTGGAAAAAAAGAAAAATTTTATTTTTGTTTAAAATGAAGAGCGCATTTTTCCTGGCATCCCTGAATACGGTCATACTGCGCACACTGAGTGCAAAGACTCATTCTCTCATGTTCTAGGTAACTCAGGCTTATCGTGCCAGGTTGAAAGCATGTAAAATAAAAGGTTAGATCCACGATTGGAGTGGTATGCATTGTGAAGTAGCTCTACGTTTGAACAGTTTAAGGCTTAAAACATCGAAAAAAACATTCTTAAGATTTTGGGAAGAAAAATTTTTTTTTTTTTTAATATTTTTGACAATGAGAGCAAGTTTGTGATCAGGGGCTTCAAGAGTAAAAGGGTTAAACTGTGCATGACTGTCACATTCATTTCTGTCATCTTACCTATACACTGACATGTCACATCCAAAGAGAGACTTGTCGAGGGGAAGCCGGGTGAAATCTTCAAGAAGTGCCTTGAGTCTGGTCCCCTTCTTCTTCCTCAAGTACCAGGCCAAGACCAACGTGCCAGTGAAAAGAGAAACAGCAAAAATTCTCTTATACAAGAGGAATCTTCTCAGACTGGGATCCTGAGTACTGCTGTAACAAGAAGAAAAGTTCACAAAAAATAAATTTAAAAAATCATAAACTATTGAACTATGACCCATTAATAAAATACAGCAGTTCCTTGAGTTACTTTAGGCTAGAATTAAAATAACTTTGAGTGTCAATTTACCCTAGCTTTGAGTTGTGATTAAAAAAGTGCGATACGATGTGCATACAATGATGGTCGGCAGATATGGGTGAGCCTCAGCCAACCATCAATGAGGTAACTTGTCTCTTAGCCAGCATCTGAGTCATTAGGTGCATCAGTGGGTTGTGTGTGAGTGGTTTAGCAGCCAGCCAGCAATGGAATGAATGTGTCTATGGTGGCATCTCAGTGAAGAGCAGCATTTGTACTAAAGTTTGTTTCACTGTCAGTATGAAGGTACCACCTGTATTCTTCCCCCACATAAACTCTTCATTATTTACCTTTCATTACTGCATTTGTGATTTAATTATGCCACATTCTATGTTATCAGTTCATCCTGGCCCCTAAAGTGTGCAGTATTTCTCAAAGATCAAACAAGAAATTGTAAAAAAAAAAAACATGATCAATGAGTAAGAATTAGTGGAGTGGTGAATGAGAATACCTTTCCATATCATGTACCATACTCATGGCTGACAAATCTACACTACTGAAAAAAGGCTAAGAAATTTTCAACCAAATCTTTAAATGGGCTGCAGAAAATAATATGAAGTTCAATGATGAGAAATTCCAATTACTCCGATATGGAAAACGTGAGGAAATTAAAATTTCATCAGAGTATAAAACAAACTGCAACCACACAATAGAGCGAAAAACTAATGTCAAAGACCTGGGAGTGATCATGTCAGAGGATCTCACCTTCAAGGACCATAACATTGTATCAATCGCATCTGCTAGAAAAATGACAGGATGGATAATGAGAACCTTCAAAACTAGGGATGCCAAGCCCATGATGACACTCTTCAGGTCGCTTGTTCTATCTAGGCTTGAATATTGCTGCACACTAACACCACCTTTCAAGGCAGGTGAAATTGCTGACCTAGAAAATGTACAGAGAACCTTCACGGCACGCATAACTGCGATAAACCACCTCAATTACTGGGAACACTTGAAGTTCCTAAACCTGTACTCCCTAGAATGCAGGATGGAGAGATACATGCTTATATACACCTGGAAAACCTTAGAGGGACTTGTACCAAACTTGCACATGAAAATCACTAACAATATCCCAGTAATTAATTTTTATAATGGGCATGAAGACGATAAATTATGCAATATCATAGTCACTAGCGAAATAGTTATCAAACAGATAGACTGATTGAAGCAAAATAAATCCCTGGGCCCTGATGAACTTTTTTCAAGGGTTCTTAAAGAGTGCAGAATGGAACTTTGTGAACCATTGAATAATATTTTTAATATTTCTCTTCAAACAGGTGTAGTGTCTTATATGTGGAAGATGGCTAATGTAGTTCCTATTTTTAAAGCAGGGGACAAGTCATTACTGTCAAATTACTGCCCAATAAGCCTGACCTCAATTGTAGGCAAATTACTAGGAGTCAATTATAGCTGATATTATAAGAAGCCACAGCATAGCTTTATTAATGATACTCAGCATGGATTCACAAGGAGCCATTTCTGCCTAACTAATTTATTAACCTTCTTCAGTAAAGCTTTTGAGGCTGTTGATCATGATAAAGAATTCAATGTTGTTTATTTAGATTTTAGTAAGGCTTTCGACAGAGTACAACACCAGATAGTATGCTTAAATGGGGATCTGTAACAAGTGGCATTCCTCATTGATCAGTCTTACGCCTGTTGTTTATAATGTATATCAATGACCTTGATGAGGGAAATACTAGTGATATGAGCAAATTCGGCGATGACACAAAGATAGGTAGGATAATTGATTCAAATGTAGATGTCACAAAACTTCAGGAGGATTTAGACAAACTCAATTCTTGGTCAGAAAAGTGGTATATGCAGTTCAATGTAGATAAATGCAAGGTTCTGAAGCTCGGGAGTGTCCATAACCCTAGCACTTATAAGTTAAATAATGTACAACTTAGCCATACAGATTGTGAAAAGGACTTGAGAGTTATGGTAAGCAGTAACCTTAAACCAAGACAGCAATGCCTAAGCGTACGTAATAAAGCAAATAGATTATTGGGATTGATATCAAGAAGTGTAAGCAACAGAAGTCCAGAGGTTATACTGCAGCTTTATACATCATTAGTAAGGCCTCGCCTAGATTGTGCAGCTCAGTTCTGGTCTCCATATTACAGAATGGATATAAATTTGTTGCAAAACATTCAGTGAAGAATGACTAAATTAATACATAGCATTAGAAATCTTCCATACGAAGAACGATTGAACACTCTTAAACTACATTCACTTGTAAGATGAAGAATGAGGGGGAGACATGATCAAAGTGTACAAGTGGAGGATGGGTATTAACAAAGGGGATATAAATAAGGTCTTGAGGATATCTCTCCAAGAGAGAACCCACGATAATGGATTCAAATTAGATAAATTTAGATTTCGAAAGGATATAGGAAAGTACTGGTTTGGAAATAGGGTAGTTGATGAATGGAACAGTCTGCCTAGTAGGGTTATTGAAGCTAAAACGTTGGGAAGTTTCAAATTTAGGTTGGATAAATACATGAGTGAGAGGGGTTGTATTTGAGTGGGACTTGCATAATGAGTAAATAGAATCATCAAAACTTATTTCTTGGGTAGCATTGAAAATTGGGCTGGGCAAATATTTTGTTAGTGAGAAGAATTGTAAAGGACCTGCCTAATATGGGCCAACAGGCCTGCTGCAGTGTTCCTCCTCTCTTATGTTCTTATGTTCTTATAAAAGCAGCAGACGGTGCAACATCCCCGAAATGAAAAGCAGGGGTGCCACTAGGATAAGAGACAACATAATAAGTGTCAGGGGCCCAAGACTGTTCAACTGCTCCCAGCATACATCTGGGGGATTACCAATAGACCCCTGGTTGTCTTCAAGCAGGCCCTGGACAAGCACCTGAAGTCAATACCTGACCAGCCGTAACGTGTGGCCAGCAGTAACAGCCTGGTTGATCAGGCCCTGATCCACCATGAGGCCTGGTCACAGACCGGGCAGTGGGGATGTTGACCCCCGGAACTCTTGCCAGGTATACACAACATATACATGTACACGTATAGGTAACTACACCCATCTGAATTTTCTTCTGTTTCCTTGATAGTTCTTGTTCTTATCTATTTCCTTTCACATCCAAGGGAAAGTGGAAGAAAAATCTTTCTTTAACCCTTTCAGGGTCCGTCCCGTAGATCTACAGCTTTACGTTCAGGGTCCAAACCGTAGATCTACGTCATGAGATCAGCTCACTCTGATAAACTGTGAGTGGTACATTTGGGCCTAGATATGAGAGAATACATCTATGTGGTATGTGTGCACCAAATAAAACAAATCCTGCAGCACACTGTGTATAATGAGAGAAAAAAAACTGAGACCATGATTTTCGATTAAAACAGCGACTTTGCAGTGTTTTTTCGTATGTTTTTTATAGTTGTATTTGCGATTTCTTGGTCTCATTTGATAGAATGGAAGACATATTACAGAAATAAAGATGATTTTGATTGGCTTTAGCACTGGAAATGGCTTGAAACTGAGCTCAAAGTAGCGGAAATGTTAAATTTTTGCTGATGTTCAAGAGTAAACAAACGACCTCACATGTCTAATACATGCCAGCTCGTGGGTCTAATATACATTCACAAATGTGGTGATGATATTTATACAACTATTACAATATTGCATAACAGTATATCTTCTATTTTTTGGTGTGAATAAAAATTCATTATGTGAATAAAAAATCAAAATGGAATCTATTTGTAAAGCCTCAAAACGTAACTAATGAACAGAGGAAATGTTAGTTTAGTGCCAGGAATACCTACATTGTTTATTCTGGACCCTAATTTGAATTTGGAATATTTTGAACTTTGTGTTAAATTGGCCAAATTACCAACTTCCGATCACTTTATTTTGTAGTTGAAACAGTTGACTTGGCGATTTCTTGTGCTCAATCGATAGAAGTATACTAGTGAATAGCTAAGAATTTGGTCGACTGGAATAATGTAATTGGCCTAAAATGGGAGTCAAAGTCGGCAAAATTGCCGATTCGTAAATATCGCTGACACATCAAAATTCGCGAGAGCATAATTTCGTCAATTTTCCATCAAATTTCGTACTTTTTGTTTTATTACCTTCACAAAAAGATTCTCAAGCATTTCATAAGAAAAAATAACTAATTTTCTTTTTTTAAATTCTTGGACACTGGGGCACCACTTCAGATTTTGGCCTTGGACCCTGAAGGGGTTAAGCCATACGTGTCATAAGAGGCGATCAATATTCTGTTCGTAACCCCCTCTCCTGTATGAATTACTAAAAATAAGACAACTGTATAAAGCTGGTAAGTTTGACTGTGCATGGATGTAGTTCTGATAATAAGGAAGAGATGACTGCTAATGTTATGAAAGAAAAGAAGTTGGATGTCCTTGCTCTAAGCAAAACAAAGATGAAGGGGGTAGGGAAGTTTTAGTGGAGAAATAAATGTGATTAGGTCAGGAGTATCTGAGAGTTAGAGCCAATGAAAGGGTAGCAATAAGGTTAAAGGATCAGTTATAGAAGTGAGAATTTAAATGTATAAATTAAAGAATTATGTGGATTAAAATAAAGGTTGGATGCAAAAAGTGGGTTATAATAAGTGTTTATGCACCTAAAGAAGAGAGGAGTGTAGAGGGGAAAGAGATTTTGGGAGATGTTAAGTGAGTGTTTAGGAAGTTTCCACCCAAGTGAGAAAGTAATTGTATAGTAGGGAACCTGAATATTAAAGTGAGAGAAACAGTTAGAGAGGGCGTGGTAGGTAAGTTTGGGGTGCCAGGAGTAAATGATAATGGGGGCCTCTGACCTTTGTAAAGAAGTTTGGCAACAGGTAACTTTGTTACTATTTAACTTCATTACCTAACAGAA